GTTCTACAAGACGAGCGCCGAGTACTACAAGGTATCATACCCCGCCACATTGCTCCTCTCGGTGCCGTGTTAACGTGCATCAGGCCAAGCACGAGTTTGCTGCATACTACAAGAACGCGCTCCTCTACCTCGCCTGTGTCGACCTCGCTGACCTCGATCTCCGTGAGCGTCAATCGCGTGCCTATGACCTCAGCATCGCCGCCCTTGTCTCCGACTCCATCTACAACTTCGGCGAGCTTCTTCTCCATCCCATCCTCGACTCTCTCCTCAACACCCCGCACGCATGGCTCCGCGACTTGCTGTTCGCATTCAATCGTGGCGACTTGACCGCATACGACGTCCTTGCCGGCAACATCTCCAAGGTGCCGCTGCTTAAGGAGCATCAGACCTTTCTGTACCAGAAGATATCGTTATCAGCGCTCACCGAGACCGTGTTCCGGAGACCACCCCACGATCGCGCAATGACGTTCCAGACCATCTCGGAGGAGACCAAGGTGTCGCCGAACGAGATTGAGCACTTGATCATGAAGGCGCTGAGCTTGGGACTGCTCAAGGGCACAATCGACCAGGTAGCGGAGATTGCAAGGATCAACTGGGTGCAGCCGAAGGTGCTGGATATGACGCAGATTCAAAACATGAGAGGACGATTGAAGGAGTGGGACGCGAGCGTCAACCACCTCGGCAACTGGATCGAAGGGGTCGGCAAGGACGTATGGGCCGCTTGAGCGATGCAGACATGGCTGTCGCCAAGCTCAAACCTAATACCCTGCTAGAAGACGAGGGTTGCGTGGCGTACGACATGAGGTATGCATGCTAAACGCACCCTATCACGATAAATGTATCATAGATCAAGGCTGGCCAACTACGCCTGCGCCCATCAATGAGTTCATGAACTGACAAAACGCTTTTGCTCATTTGATTCACACTAATGCTCTATGTGGTATCATGTTCCCATATGTGATGTCGGTGCTCCGACGCGCATCGCCATGTTTCGTTCAACGCCCAATAATCTGTCATATACATGCCCACAAGTCCTCAAAACAACCCCAACGCAACGACAACGCTTCCACAGAACCAAGCAGGCCACCACACAAGCCATACCACGACCTGCGTCCACATCCCCCAGATGTGCCACCCTTCCGCCGCCTTGACCAAGACATCCAGCAGCTCAATCTTACCCACATAAGTCGCAGCGTGCACCACCATGACGGGATTGATAGCCGCGAGCAGCGCGAATTGCAGCTTTGCCCCAACGCCAGAGCTCCTCCGCACAAAACTCAGCGGCGCAGTCAACAAGCCGACCATCAGGCTCTGACTGAAGTTCAGCGTGGCGAGAGCAGAGAGGTACATGCCGAGGAAGAGCAGACTGAAGCAGTGGATCAGCGTGGATTCTTGGGGCGTGGGCCGGTTGAATCGAGAGAGGAGGTAGGCGGTTGCAAGGGGCAACAGGGTAGTGAGGTTTGAGGCGAGGAGGAAGGCGGGGCGGAGGTCATCGACGGGGATGTGGTTGAAGGCGGCTAATGGGATGAGGCCGAGGAAGTGGGCTATTACGACGAAGGCTGCTGGCAGGAAGAGCGGGCGCTCAGAGACTTGTAGGAGTGCGGCGGGGATTACGGCTGTGGCTCCGTCTTTGGTTACAACGACAGGTGGGGACTCGAGTGGTTTCTTTTCGTCTTCTTGTTCCGGCTCTTTTTCTTTGTTGTCTGAATCTTTGGAAGCATCCTGGGTAGCCGGTTTGGAAGCAGGCTTCGTAGCTGCGGGATTCGGAATGGGCTCTTGTGGGCGTCCGCTTTGGACCCAGAGTGCGATGGCCATGATGCTGAAGTTGGCAGCAATCAACATGGCGGACGGGAGATATGTGCCTATACTGACGAAACGCTTAGCTTCGAGCAGCAGGTAGAAGAAGAAACTCTGGTGCAGATGCTCAAGCAAGTTATTGAGACTTCTGAACAAGCTCTCCACGGTGCGTCCCAGGCCCATCTCATCGTGCCATCCGTCGCCCACGGTCACGAGCGTAATAGCGTCGACGTGATATGGTATGAATGCACTGTGCGGTCCGGTGGCATGTCCAAGACCCTGAGAGAGCATGCCTCGCAGCATGGTCTGCAAGCGCTCTTGGTATGAGTTGCGGTGAAACCACATGCGCTGGAGGGTACAGGCTATGCCCATTTGGCCGGAGGCAATGTTGACAGCCGTGTTGAAGAGGTCCAGATTGGGAAGCTGTCCATTCGTGCCGTCGTATACGATGTGCAGCTTGTCGTACCGGTGACCCCACGGCCCCGCAGGATACTCGACGCCCACAGCACCTTGAAGCGCGCCGCTCTTTATGCTGAGGCTCTCGATCGTAGTCGGATCGTGAGCATCGTGATATGCATCGACCCAGGCCTGTGGTCCGCTCGTGCTGTCACCAGATAGCAGGAATATAATATCCTTGCTCCACAAGCTCCATCTTTTGAAGTAGCGGGCAAGCGCGAGCACCAGCGCGACGCCAGAGTAGTTGTGTTCGCCGTCCATGGTTTTGAGCGACGCCATAAGCACAATGGCCTCTGTGGCATCGGCGCGGGGGCCTTGCAGTATGGCGTAGACATTCTCGTCGGAGATGTTGCGGCCGGAGGGGGTGTATGTATACTTTTGCGTTGCGACTTTCAGGTTGGACGCCCGAAGCAACTCGCTCAGCTTGTCGGTGCGCCTGGTCGTACGTCAGCGTCCCCTCTATGTGTTGCGGTGGACGATACGTACTGCTGCACAGGCAGGTCGACCAGGCCCGCAACCTCGTGCCTGTAAGCGCGGAACACGTCGTGTTCGCTGCCTGTAAAGTACGTGTGCACCTGACCGGGCAGGAGCGCATTCTCGGAGACATAGGTACCGCGCGAGTATTCGTTCAGCGGGAGGACGAGCAGCCATGCGACGCCGACGAGGATCAGGAAGGCGGAGAGGTACGGGGGGATCTTGAGAATGCGGGCATCCTTTCGGAGCGCCAGCAGCGTAGCTAGAGCGCACAGTGAGCACGCACTCTATAATGTCGGGACTGCTACCAACCTAACAGGGCCATTCTGCCCGCGCCGCACCCAGTCGATGGTGTGTCGAAGCTCGATGCTGCCCGCCGTGTTCAATGTTGCCAGTTGCCAGTTGCCAGTTGCCAGACGCCAGTTCCCTGCACGTCGGCGTTAGCACACCTCCGATCTGTCTTCTCGCGCCGGTGCACGTCGAGTCGCGTCTGTTGCTGAACACTTTCCTCCTCCTCCTCTCCTCGTGTCCACTTCGGCCTCCCGCGATGCCGTCCCTCCCACAGTTCAACCCGCTGCGGCTCCGCTCATACATCTTCCGGTTACCGCTCGCGACGCGGTTGTTAGTCGCAGCAATAGTAGGGTTATGGATCGCGGCAATACCGTTTCCCTGGCTGAGGGAGCTTGGGTCCTTGAGTCCTGACAAGTTCGACTTGACGCAGAGTACGTGCTCTCCTGTTTCCGCGCGTTCCGCGCATTTGATCTGGAGAACCGGCCACGGTGCAAGGGTGCGCATGCAACGCCGACAGCCACGGAACAGCTTGCGAGAGCTGGGGCGAAGGCGAACAGCGCATGCATGTGTACAACGGGACACTGTCAAGACAACATGGACTAACCCGCTACTCCAGTGCATCGGCTCAATCTGTTTCCCCTCACCCATCTCAACTTTTTCCACGTGTTCTTCGACGTCCTCGCCATAACGCCTCTCCTCGAGCGCTTCGAAGCCGAATTTGGTACCATCGTCACATTATCGCTGTTCACCGGACGTAAGGACGCATGCTCTAGCTTTAGGGGAACCCATGGTTGACAAGACGGTAGCTTTCGGTCTCTTGCCGGGCGGCTTATACCTGTTACTGGAGAAGTTCATCTTGAGGGGCAACACGGCGGTAATGGGATCGAGGTAAGCCGTAGCATGTTGCTTCTATAAGGAAAAGGTGCTGACCACGTACCACGCAGCGTGTGGGTCTTCCTTCTACTCGCGTCCGAGGCCATGAAGACCCACAAGGCGAATCCAAACTTCAGGTACACCAGTTCCCCAGCGATCGATGTAGATGTACCATTACTGACATACCAACAGCATCGGTCCCTACAAAATCCCCACCTGGACAACTCCCCTGATTCTCGTGTTAATGACCTCGTTCATCATCCCGAACGTTTCCCTCCTCGGCCACCTCTGTGGTGCCGCAGTCGGTTATGTATGGGCGACCGGCTACATAAAGTTCCTCGTACCCCACGAAAAGATTCTGCGATGGGTGGAGACCAAGTTGAACCTACTCGGCAGGCTACCGCATTACGTGAGCGTGGATCAAAAGACGTACGGCCGGTACGGCGTGTTGCCTACGGCGGTGCCTCTGGCATCTGTGGCGAGAGAGCCCCGGAGTCCAGATGTCGGTCAGAGACTAGGTCCATGAGTCCAAGCGCGAGAGAAGCAGGCAACGTTCTGCATAGATTTGTGCTGGTAGGGCGTTCTTTGGGTTTCAAGACAACGCATCGCTGGTCGACTATTGGCGAGGCGTCTTGGAGTTATCGCATAGAGGTTGCGTTCTACGGCGCATTAAAAGCCTTGCTCTGAACGGTAAATGTAGACATGTGTATACTGTGTTGTAATACGAATAATCGGATCCATTCTCAACGACGCTACCTGCATAGCATCTATTTGTTGTCCGACGCTCGTATGGCGTGCTCTTATCAAATCACTGAAGTTTGAGACTTGCAACTTATTGAAGGGCTACGTTGGTGCACCGAATTTCAAAAGCAGAACGGCCGCGCTCCAGCGGCCGCCGCCCCTCGTCTACGACCCACCATAGGTTGTCATGCGCTCGGCTCGTCCTACCCCACTTGTACCATCCACCAAATGGCCTAAAGACCCTATTTCGATCCACTGCACCAGGTGCAGTCTCGACATTGACTCACCCGGAAATTTCCTCCGATAGCTGTGCTGGTATATATATGCCAAGAATTTTCAAATCTTCATCAAACTACCTGAAATGGAAAGCTTCCTTGGTGTAGTCGGTTATCACGTCGGTCTCATAGCTTCAAGTTTATGACTGCTCTCAGTAGTAGAAATCCGAAGGCCGCCAGTTCGAATCTGGCAGGGAGCATACTTTTTGGCCTCGTGGCTTTTCCTACCATCTGGATGGTGCAGAGATTTGAGTTTCTTTTGCAAGGTATACGAAGGGCTCAATCAAGCGGGCTGCGGTGCTAGCAGCCGGGAGAAGGTCTTTCGAAGAATTTACGTCGAACCTTTTTTGTTGTCCGGCCTCTGGCAAGAAGCCATTGAGCCAGTGCCGAAGCGTATCATGATCACGTCGAATACACACTGCATTGGGATGTCTTTTCCTGAAGATAGAGTGGCGTGTCTTTCGAGCGGGGTATCTATTCGAGTAAAACTCATTTTTGACCATCAACAACCTTGACGAGGTATTGCCGTAGCAACGACTCCGTACTTCTTGGGTCCTTCCTTTCCTCCGCGTCTGTCCAATGGCGGTAGAACTCCAGCACAACCTCGACTGCAATAAGTGCAATGATGGCCCATTCGAGCCTTAGTCCATGCTTCTCGCTGAGCGATTCCCGCAGGACACTTGCAATCTCCTGCGCGAAACCGATCTTCTCGTTCAACACTTTGATGCGAACACCTACATCCAATGCGCGTCCCACTTGGTCATAGTACTCTCCAAGACCAAGCTCGTGTCGACTGTCCCAGAAGATATCCGGCATAGAGTCGGTGAGCTCTGAGTACAGATTAAGCTGTGCGCGTATGTTGAGAAGCTCGCCTGTCTTGCGGAGGATGAAGGAGCGGGTGAAGGGGACATTGTTCCTGCCCAGTGTCTTGGTATCGCCCTTGGCCAGCATGATGGGGATATCGCGTGTCGAGTGCTGGTAATCGCTCAGCAGCGTTTCCAGAATAGCGAGTTTAGTAGAGCGAGCAAGCCCAGACGAGAAAGCAATCTTAGCAAGAACGGTGTCGATCTCGTGGCGTTGCTCCGTCTCGTCCGTACCGGGCTCCTTGGGCGCATCGTTGCTATCGTGCTCGGCTTTTGTGCCCAGAATAATGGTGTCCCCGACAACCTCGCTTGACTCCCTTGTCGAATCTTCCAGGTATTCCAAATCCTCTGTCTCTAGCAGATCCAGATGCAAACCTTCTGCTGCTGCGGGCAGCACCCGATTGACCAGATGCAGAGCCTCGCGTTCCCTCACATTCCAAGTGACGATTGTCCCAGATGGGAAGATGAAGATATCCCCTTCTTGCGAGTCCTTCACTTCTGACGGTCGGTCGCGTGTTCGGACATGGACAACCTGCGGATAAAGGCCGGTTTGTAGAGGATCGAGCTCATAGCCTTGAGCTTGGACTAAACGGGCCGCCGTAGAAATGTTGTAGGTTTCCGTCGCGCAATAGGCTGTAACTGTCTGCATGGATTGTCAGGTCGCCGTGGAGAATTTCCCTGGCGTGATTATGCCTACCTTTGTGTCTACATGCGGGTCCACAAAGCGCTTGTTACCCCGGCCCTTCACGAAGCCTTGTCTCGAACGTTGCGCCTCGACAGCAACCCGCCTCAGCGACGATGTCTTGCCCGCATGCTTCTTTGTGCCCTTCGTGTTCACCTTCGTCGTCTCTGCACTGCTTTCTTCCCTCGCTGATATATCCGCTTCAGACACTTGCTTCTGTGCGAAATCGATCTTTTTGCGCGCCGTCGCGGTAGATTGGAAGCATCGCGTCGAGTGCCATGCTGGTCTCGGGACTAATCGGTAACCTGTACGGGGTAGGAGAGTGCGAGACGCGGAGACAACGCTCCGTGTTAGGTAGATCATCACATCGCTGGGATCGATGGGAGTGACAAGAATTTGGAAGTATTCAAGTGTAACTTTGCCAAGTCTGATTATGTAACATGGAAGCAACAGTCGCGTCACTTTTTAGTAGATCCCGCATCCAACGCCATCATATCACATGATTTGGGAACTCTCATGTTTCCTTGCAATCGAACTCGTATCAGGTAGCACGACTATCAAACTCCTAAGGTTGGGCCTCGGTTAAGATCCTTGTCGCGATGCAATCTGTACCATGGAACCAGCTTCGTGCGAGAGGTCGAGACTCATCAGCCCAAAAGAACTCCAGGGTAGAACAGACATATGTACCCAGGAAGGTACTGATTCAGGCGGAAGAGGTCTATACCATTTTTCTTCGCAGTAAGGAAAACAATGGTAGGTATGCAGTAACGTGAAGCATTTGAGGGCCGCGATCATTGGTTCAACGACAGTATCTTGCTCAGGCCGTACAAGTGCTCGTACATCAGGTGTAACCCATACTCGGGTAAGATATCCTGCGTAACCATTTCAGGACGCAACTCGATATAAATTGCTAACACACGCTAATTTCAGATCCGTACTAATTACTCTCACCAGCTAGCAACGAACCTTCATCCCTATACAGGTCCTCAAAAGCACGTGGAGAGCATGCTGTTGCCGTGCACCTACTCGTGCCGGCAGTCGCAATATCAAGATCTCTTGTGAATGCGACACAGCCTTCACAATGTCAGAGACTCCTAGCACGGAGCCTTTTGGGCTGGTCATCGTCGGGGCACGTATGTATAGCTTCGCTATGATCTGAGATCCTCCAAAAAGACTTGAGTCACTAAATATTATAGGCCTATATGGTATCACAGCAGCTGCTACATACCATGACATACATCCCGAGGCTAGCATACTTGTCGTGGAGTCGGCTTCCTCGATCGGCGGGCCATGGTCTCAGCGCACATTTCCCGGTCTGAAAACTAACAATATCTTTGGAACGTACCAAGTTCCAGACTTCCCAATGGATGAAACCTGATTCGGCGTTAATGAAAGAGAGCACGTCTCCGCCAAGGACATGTTTGAGTGCATGCAGGCATTTATCGAGGACAAAGGTCTCAAAAACTGCATACAATACAATACGAAAGTGAGGGTAGTAGAGCAGATCGGAGAAGGCTGGAGATTGCATGTCAGCATCAGCAAACTAGATTCCACAGAAAAAACTGCCGTGATCAACACATCAGAATTGATCGTCGCTGTCGGATTAACGAATCAACCGTCGATGCCTCGCTACCCAACATCACCTGGTTTCAAACCTATCATCGCACACTCGACTGGATTCGCGAGTCAATTCATTGTAAAAGAAAACACCCACACACTGATAGTAATAGGTAGCAAGTCTACGTAGGACATCGCCTATGCGTGCGCCACCCTAACCCAACGGCGACAATGCTTGTACGTTCCTCGAGCAATAGCCCGAATTGAATGGCACCATCTCACGTCACTCTGCTGGGCCTTTGGCTGGAGAAGCTTGTGTTTACTCGTTTCTTTGGATACATGTCACCCTGCCCGTGGGCGGAGATGATTGGACTCGAAGGATGGCTACGAGGTTTTTTTCCATGGGACATGGCTTGGGAAAAAGATAATAGCGGCAATCTGTCAGATGTTGGGCGACGATATAATACAGCACAACAAACTCCATGACCATCCAGAAACAAAGAAGCTCCGGCCATGGCAGGATGCATTCGAGACGGGCAATGGTGAATATCATTAACTAGCCGACAAACTGGTTCGAATTGGTACGGCAGGGAAAGATCAAGATCATCATCAACGAGATCGACCGACTGGACAACGAGAATAAGGTACAGCTCAAGAATGGGGAGACAATCAGAGCCGATGCTGTGGTGTGCGCGAGCGGCTGGAAGATCGGAGGGGGCGTAGAATTCAAACCCGAAGGCTTGCGGTATCAACTCGGACTACCCACGACCAAGCAACCAGGTATCGAAGATGAAGCCCTCGTCAAGCAATTTACAAATGAGATCTACGAATGCTACCCCTTTCTGAAGGCCCGCGACACGAGGACACACCTCGTTAAAACGTGCCCTAAGTTATATTAAAGAGGGAAGGATCATAAAAGTACTAGAAAGGACTCTAGTTAGTTAAGCTAGGATATATCTAGTAGATATAACTGCTCTACCTAAAATCCTAACGGGTGAAGTTGTGATTGAACTAGAGCCTGGAGACACGTCAGATGAAGGATTCGATGGGTCGAAGGTAACCGGCACGCTGCGGGTAAGACAACAGCTTTACAGGCAGAAGCCTACACAGCGACAAGGCGGCGTATCGGCCGGTCCTGCATGCACGTTTTCATTGATTTCCTCAGCACCTGGTCAACCCTTGTAGCACCTTGACTTTTCGGAAATCCGCACCATCGCCGCCGGATCCAGTCTCTCTTATTCTAGCCTTGCCTCGTTATATCAGAAACATCAAGTCGAGCCTCAAAATTCGTTCGCTCAGCCCGTACAAACTTACAGGACTATGTCAACCGCATCACCAACACCTGCCACTACAAGCAGGCCTCTCTCATATATGGAGAAGCTTGGCCCGTTCGTCTCCTTGTACCGACCATCAAAGCCTTCAAGCACAAGCACAGACTACCAGCCGCGACTCGTTGTCATCTCTAGTTGGACTGGTGCGAAAGATGTCCACATCGCCAAATATGTCGCCAAGTACCAGGCCTTGTATCCTGCTGCTCAGCTGCTGCTTCTGAGGAGCACCATGGACTGCATCGTTCGCCCATCGCAGATCGGTCCTGCCATGAGAGTTGCCGCTTCCGTCCTTCGCAACGCATTCTAAGCACCAGTGGTGGCTTCTTCACTACCTCTTCTCATTTACATATTCTCCAATGGCGGCTCCTCGAGCATCGCGAACTTGTACGAGCAATTCGCTGCCATGGAATTCGTTAGTGTCAGTCTCCCATTTCCCCAGCAGCTGATCGCTGCCCCTTTCCTCTACGCTTTCGCCGCTTTCTGGACTGTCTCGATGGCCCTGGGCATTTTACCTAATTCTTTGGACAACTGGTACAGGGCGCATAACGTTGACGTGGGAAACACGGCTGAATTACGTCGGGTATACATTTACAGCCCCACGGATGCATTGACCGACTATAGAGATGTGGAGACACATGCGGCCGAGGCTAAGACGAACGGTTTCTCTGTTGCGTTAGAGAGATATGAGGGTTCGGCACATGTCGCACACCTACGGAAGGATGAGAGTCGGTACTGGGAGATCGTCAGGAGGGCTATGGAAGGATGAC